GTTGGTTAATCAAAAGATTTGTGGGGCCTTCAAAAAGTGACATCTCAACGAAATGATATCTGATTTTACTGCCATAACTAAGTGTATGTATAATAATATATTATATAAATGTAAATGTATGTTATATATATATAAATATAAATGAATGCTTAGTTTACTACACTAAAAATTAGCTCACTCGTGTTAATGAAATTTTAAAATAAATTTATGATATTAAATAACCAAACTTTTATTTATTTTTCTTTGAATAAAAAATTAATTATAATTAATGAGACATAAATGGTAAAATGACAAGTGCCAACAATATTTTTCTTTTGCAATTATATTTTAACACATTACATGTGATTGATTTAAGTATATTGTTGGTATATTTCTCTACAATTGATTCATGTATAGGTGATTTTAAATTTTAAATAACTTAACATGTGAAGAAGTCTTAAGTAAAGTAAATGATTGCTCCTCACATAAAACTTCTTATCGGATTTGAATTCATATTCTTTCATTTCTCAAAATTCCCCATATGTAATCCTATTTTAAAAAATAACTTAATATGTCATGTAAGTCAATAATATAAAAAAATTTGCCACATAAACCAATTATATAAAGGGTGTTGAAATGGGATTGCAAGCCAGCTATTCCTTGTAAGATTATATTGTATAAAAATATTGTAATTTAATTATTTTTCTTTACATTATTTCACTAAATACTAAAATAACCTCCTTGAATTTTTCATTGATAAAGAGATGGCAATAATATATATAGTTATAGTACAATATTTTAAATTTACAATTATAATATATAATTAAATGAGTGAATACTGGATGTATATAATAATGTAAGTAAATTTTTAAACAAAAAATTAATCATAAAATAATACATTATATTTATAAATTTATAATATCATTTGTTATTATAACTATATCATTTTTCACGTAAAAATTAGTCTACAAGAAATTACCTAATGTATATCTATCAACAAATACAATTTTATAAACAGAAACAACGTACACAAAGCTAGCTATATGCATGTCAATAAGATCGAGCGGAACTACAATATCATTGTAGAAGGAATGTAAGATTTCAAGAACAATATTGTATCGGTGCCATTAGAAATGCATAACAATGAGGATTTTTTTTTTGTCTTTTCTGAATTGTAAAGAAAAAAATATAATTAATATTACAAGATTACAAGGAATATTTCAGCCAATTACATCTAATCAATTTTATATAAACATCAACAATATTCCTTTCTAATTACTAATCTATTAATCTAAGCGAAAAAAATCCGATTCTTTTTAAATAAAGTTTAAGTTTAAATTTTATGAATAGAGAAATAAGTTTTGAAAGAGTTTTCTCTTTATAAGTCTAACAATATATGATCAATTTTAAATTAATTGAAATTTAATATAATTCTTGCATATAGTTAAAAAAAGGTGAAAAAATAAAAGAAACAATATTCCTTTCTAATTACTAATCTATTAATCTAAGCGAAAAAAATCCGATTCTTTTTAAATAAAGTTTTAAATTTAAATTTTATGAATAGAGAAATAAGTTTTGAAAGAGTTTTTTCTTTATAAGTCTAACAATATATGATCAATTTTAAATTAATTAAAATTCAATATAATTCTTGCATTCCTATAGTTTAGTAAAAAAAGGTGAAAAAAATAAAAGAAACAATATTCCTTTCTCTTCCCCACCCAAATACTGTGTTTACCTTCATCTTACTTTTACTCCCTCATGCATTCCCTGGTTTTCAGAATGCAAAAGAATCAGTTGAAGCGAAAACCACTTACCTCTCAAGCCGTCTTCCAACCGTGACAACAATTGGTGTCTGGTCCTGGCTGCATCAAAGGATCAAAACCCTCGCTTTGACTAGACAAGAAACCAGCAATGCTTGGCAGGAAGGTGATGACGGTTTAAGCTATAATCACAAGTACTGCTGTTTTCTTTTGCCAGTTGATAGAGGTGGATTTTGTGCAATTCCATTATCATGGTTGTACCTGATGATGCTCAGAACCGACTCTTCTTACCTTGCCTATCATCATTTTCTACCATTACTTGCCCCACCTCTTCAGGAATTGCATCAATTTTTTACTTGCAACTTTATCCATCCTTTCACTGCACACCAAATCAAGCAGACAATTAGTAACACTACTTTAATCTTTAAGTCTTATACATCAAAAGATTCAAAATGGATGGAATACATTCAAAATGATATTGTTGGGATATGCAGGGTGAAACTATATCCCTGTTTCATGGGCTCAGCCCCCACTCAATTCAGAAGACTAATAAGTATGGAGAAGACAGTGGGATGCCTTTATTTGAATCAGATGGTAATAAATCGAATCTCACCTTTCTATTTTTTATTTTCAAGGTTTCTAACTACATAATATTTCACTTAGACACTTAATACCTTTTAGCAGATATAGTTGAAAAGAGTGTCTTAACAAATAAAAATTTAAATACTAAACAAGTGCTCGTCTAAAGACGGAGAACCATTCCCTTATCATATAATTAATCAGCAAATTTAGCAAAAGAGAGTGAGTCCAGGTAACATAACTAGTCAATGATAAAAAATAATTGTTGGCATATGCCATAACAAATTAACATTAGAATGAGGTTTGCCTCTGCATTTTATTACGTGTTCAAACTTTGTACAAGCAAGGCATCACTTAAACCACACCACCAAAATATCTAAAAAAAAAATGGCACCTCAAAACAAATATATTGTGAAAACTAGGAGATCAATGGGACATTCTTCACCATTTAAATCTCGACTTTTTCGTCATGATCTTGAAATCTTTCCATTCAGATGGCTGCGCATAGACTTCTTGCCTGAAACCCCAGCTGGCTCCTGAAATCCTATGTTCTCAACGGCTCCAACAGTCTTAAACAAGCGCCTCTTGCATATCTCCATCAATGACCTGCGTAGTGATTGGCCACGTACATCAACGAGTGACCGAATTCTAGTTAGCTTCTGTTTGTCATTAGCGTGAGAGGGATTCTGTAAGTCCAGTTGTTTGCATTGATTAGGACTCTTGCTCTCTTCAGGACAGAATCTTGAGGATTTCATGGTCTTTGCTTTAAAAGGGGACTCTTGTTTGAAACTTAAATCAGAATCATTTTCGTAACTCATGCAAGAGTACCCGAAGGAGTTCAAGGAGCTATGGGAACTAGAATCATCATTGCTCAATAGATCTGCTTCTGCATTCACATGAGCATCTTGTCATGCTTAGAATCAACAGATCAAATAGAAAAGCTAACCAAGTCACAAATGGTGGTAAAACTATTAAACAAGTCTCAATGATGAAAAATACCTTGAGGACAATTTTGGCCAGAAGCTGCATTATTTCCATGAAGAAATTGTGTCTCATAGGAAGATATAAAAGCTGGGAGGGAAACTTGGGAGGAAGAACAGGAAGACGTTGCGTAGAAAGGATGTTTAGTATCATCACCATCTTCTTCTTCGTAGTTGAAGCTGTATTGATGATGGAATTGAGCTGCGCCCCAGTCCTTCCAAGTTGGAACCAGAGAAGATACCTCCTGCTCTATCATTTCAGCAATCTCCAATGGCTCCCAATCATCAATTTCCAATTCTTTAACCATCTCCAAGGCAACACTTATTGAAGTGTCATTTACTATGTCAAAGGGAAAGTGTATGTTCCGGGCATGACCTGCAATACAAGAAGCAATTGTAGTTAAGAATGTTAAAGAGCAGACAACCAACATTTAAGGATAACAGGGTTGGAAATTTGAACATTATGGAAACAGATTTATATATTTTTTCTTTGGCCAAACAGGACAGATTTGTATTAATCATTCAGAACTCAAAAGAAACAAAGGAACTTCAAACAATTTCTCACAGAATGTAATTCTTGAATAAAGTGGAACACACACCAGAAAACATAGAATTAATTTAATTTTTTATCATTGATATTACAAAAGTTAGACAAAAATTACAAGCAAATTTCATACTATTTGAAGAACATAATGTCATGTGCCATGATTGCTGGTAACATAAATAAAACCAAAAGAAAAATAAATATCTATGGGGTTAATTGAATGTGTATGATAATTCATGTGGAACAAACTGAAAGTGGAAGAAAATCACGTACCATCCTTGTCTGAAATCTGTACTTTGAGGAAAATTGTGTCATCTTCCGGATCCATTGTACCCGTGATCAACATACACGTATTCCTTGTTGGATCAACCTCCAGAGGTACAAGCTCTGCCTCTATTGCCTTAGGAGTTAATTTTTGACATGGGACTATAGGGAGGGGGAGCAGATCCTCTTCAACAGAGGCCAAAAATGGATCATGCAAGAGTTCTTTAGCAGGCAACCTCTTTGAGACATTTTCAATGCATTTCCCCACAAATTGCTGGGCTTCCTCATCTTGAATTTTGTAGAATGACTCAGGAAGCTTTCGCTGGAAATTGAATAGTATATATGAATGAGCATATTATTTTGGTAATTAATTGCATTCTAACTAGTAGAGCTAAAGTTCACCAAACTTAACCCATTGGGGTTGGCTCAAGTGGTAAAGATGGATTCGAACCATGCCTGAGAATGCAGGTTCGAGTCCTCTATTGCCATTTGACTGCAAACAACTCCAATGGGCCAAACCCGCCACCTTGAAGGTGGAGCTTTGCATGGTACCTGTGTACCTGTGGGATTAGTCAGGCCAAAGGCCCAAATAACCATGTTCTCTGAAAAAAAGGAGACAAAACAAAAAGGATCACCAAACTCACTGAAGTCACTTTCTTGTATATTTGTGCAGGGTTGGAGCACTCGCTATAGGGATACTCAGATGTAAGCATCTCCAAGACACACATACCAAATGAGTATACATCTACTAACTCATTGTAATTCTCTTCATACAGTTCCGGTGCCATAAACTCTGGTGTTCCTAGAATTTACACAATTTTAAGAAAAAAAAAAATTCAAACACGTGGTATGGAAATCAAAACCTGCCAAGTTAACCAAAACTTGGTTGCAAGAGATAGAGAGGTTACCTATTACACTATGGGCATGGTGAGAATTGCGAAGAATAGCTGCTAAGCCAAAATCACCAATCTTGACTTGTCCAAGGTGACCGTTGACAAAGATGTTATCACATTTGAGGTCTCTATGTATAATTGGAGGATCATGTTCATGCAAGTAAGCAAGACCATGCAGAATTTGGCGAGCCCAGTTCTTGATTGCTCGCATATCAAGCCGCTGGTACTTCTTCCTGTACCTGCAACATGTCAAACAACACAATAAAATCACAGTAAAACAACTTTAAATATGAAAAATTTCTCAACTAATCATAGGTTAACAGCATAATCCAATGTACAGCAGTAAGTTCCTGGGATTACACTCTCAGGGTGCCAGAGGTAACCAATTCGGTGATGAAGTTGAAACATCTACGATGAATGTCAATCCAAGATGCATAGAGTCGAATGATAGATTCATGATTGAGGCTCTTGAGGAGGTGAACCTCAGAGTAAAGCCGCTGCAATTCTTCAGGTGAATTGATGACATCATTAAGCTTCACTTGATTCCATGCCACCTCCATTCCAAGGACCTCATCAAATGCTTTATACACTGTCTTCATGGCTCCTTTACCAAGAATCTCCCTAAACTGCAGTGAAATTCCAAACCATTAAATACCCAATGATCACACTGTGATTCTGAAAAAAAGGATACTTCTCCAGTAACACTTCAGCATTCCATTTATTATTACATTCACAAGTGGTTAAAATTTTCCAAAAAAATGATATAAATAGTCATGCGATCAACAGATGCCAATCCATGAGAAAAAAACCCAACTCATGTCGTCCTATGTTCATCAAATTGTCACTCACTTTTCAAGTTTGATATTTAATTTTATTCTTATTTATTAGCCTGGTGATCCATCTACACAGATATTTTTTGAACTGATCATGTTTCATCCTATTAAGGTTGGAAACATAGCGGAACTTTGTTTTGAAAAAAGGCTGGCCTGGTTTGAATTACTCATCACATCACGGACTGTGTAGAATCAGAAGTTTAACATAGTTCAAGTCTCTATTCATTAAAATAATGAGTTTCATAGAGAAAATCTATACACTCTTGTTCTACGAAAGCACCAAGTAACAATTATTCAATCAACAACTGTCACCAATAAATCTATTAGACTAATATGAGAATAGTTTCCTGAGAAGTGTCCAAGCAAATTGAAAGAATATACCCAGAATGTTGGCCCAGTAGAATTGATATGGAATAATTCTATTCCCCCAATAGCAAAGGAATCATTTTCACTAGATGGCAGACACCATTTCAAAGGGCTTTTGACAAAATCAAGCCATGAACTTTTTCAAATGAAAAAAAAAAAAAAAAATTATGCATATCCTGATGTCCATAAAATGAGAACTGTGTGAAATCAATTTTCAAGTATCTGGTCATCCACGGGGAAACTAACCACCTACCCGGAAAAGAAAAATGAAATTACATAGGAAACTAGGATTATATTGATGATCAAAATTGATTGTGTGATTTTTGGTATTTGTAAAATTCAATTTACTCTAGAAACAGAAGGTCAATACCTTAATCTCTCCATACAATCTTCAACTGAAAGTACCAGAAATTGCTAACTCATAAAAGTTAAATTGGCTCTAGAAACAGCAGGCTGTCTTTACACAATCTGATTCTAATAAGAGCATACAAGGAAAAAAGTGGAAGGACTCTCTTGATCTTTCCAGGTGATCATATAAAATAATCAAACAAACAGAACTGCCCACAAGTCCGGTTGAAGACATAAGCTCAAAAGTAAAATAACATGCAACAACCTACTATGACAGCAAAATTCATCAAAGACACAGACTTATATAGGCAAAGATTAGAAGAGTTGGAAAAATCAGAATTCATTTCTCAAAAAGCTGATTCCAATCTATCTGAACCAATTTGCCCCAAAAAAAGAGATAAAAAAATTCCGTTGAAAAAATACGAAACCATTTATACAAAGATTATAAGAGTTGGCTGAAGAACTTACACGTCCATAGCGGCCAGATGGATCTACTTCAACGTAGCCAAGCTGCGACTTGGCTCCATCAACACATCCTCCCACACGGGTCTTGTACATCTCTGAAAAACCAAGCACCCACCAACTCTCTCCAGTAGAAAAACACAAGCTTTGTTGTAAAATACCTCTAGATAATCTATGTTAATGCACTATAGACTATAGGGATAAGTATAGTATTCAATTATGGAAAGTATAATCTAGGAGCTGCAACAAATTCGAGGCTTTCCTTCATGATTTTCATAAGAGAAAACCCCAAACAATAACCAGAAAAGCCTTGAATAATCCACACTGAGCATAACCCAAGCCATTTCCACAACTCCACGGGACAACTCGTAGTCCTTGGTAATCATCTGGGTGATGAAGAAAAGGGTATTTGATAATACCCAAGGTGGGTATATGGGGAAGATTTTTATGAGTAGTTCAAAGAAGAAAACAACAGTGGAGACACTGTTTCTAGACGTATGAATGGAAGGGAAAGGGAATATCTTTGGTGTCAACCAATAAGACAAAGAGCAAGAAAAAGATGGGTTTGTGGGGGAGAATCCTTTTCGTGTAAAATTTTAAGAGATTGGGGTTCTGAATTTGAAGAACTTACGGACACGCTTTGCAAGCACCATCTGTGGTGAGGAAGGGAAGAAATCAAAACAGGGGTTTGGAGGGAATCTGCAAATTTATGAAGAGATTGGGACTTGGAAATTATCTCTGGAGACAAAGAAGATAAGTAAGACAATGGAAGAGGAGATAGTGGGGTTGCTGGTCTGATATAGAGAGCGGGAGAAGGAAAGATGGCGGCTTTCTCTGGGGTACTCAGATGGGGGCAAAAACTTATTTTGAGCCCTTCACCTTCTTAAATTTGATGGTTTTAACTCCTCACCTTATACTATAACACTTTTAGCCCCTTATCTTATTAAATTTATAGGTTTAACCCTCATCTATTAAAATCGAAGAAAATAGCCATAACTTTATACTGATTGTTAACTTTATTAGTTGAAAGTAAGTTTTTATCAACTAACAGTTAACTAATAGTCAGTTAATATAATTAACAAAATATTATACAGTTAGTTTTGTTAACTTTATTAGTTGAAAAAAGATTTTTATAAGTTAATAGTCAACTAACAGTCAGTTAATAAAGTTAACAGTTAGCTAACAAAACTAACAAAATGTTATAAAGTGAGGGTTATTTTCTTTAATTTTAATAGGTAAGGAGTTAAGAGCATGTTTGATTCAGCTTCCAAGTGCTTCAACTTTTTGATACTATTCATGTTTCATAAGTTTAAATTTTCCTCTTAAAAACTTCTATTTTTAAACTTTTTTTAACCTTAAAAAGATCCCAAACAATAAAAGTTCAAAAGTTTTAAATCCAAAATTTTCAAAAACTTCATTTTTATTTACTTTTTACTCACTTTCCCTATCTCTAAAAGTAATTTTTTAATTTTTTAATTTTTTTCTCTAATAAAAATTTAAATTTATTATTTATGAACAGTATAAAAAAGCAAAAACTCGTACAAGTTAACCCAAACATGTTCTTAAAGTGTTCTAGTATAAGATGAGGAGTTAAAACTTATAAATATAGTAAAATAAGATATTAAAAATATAATAATATAAAATAGGGAGCTAAAATCTTTAAATTTAACAAGGTAAGGGGCTCAAAAGTATACTTTTCCCCTCAGGTGGAGGAAGTTACTGCGTGGAAGCACTCAGCTATTGAGCAGCTAGGACTGTTTTCATTAACGGAAAATTATATGGAGGCCATGGTGTTTTTTTTTTTTTTTTTTTTTCAGCACTTCTATGTAAGATTGCAGCTTTGAGATCATTTTCACTGGATAAATTGCAGTGTTTTTTTTTTTTTTTTATTCCCTCGTCCCCAAATAAGTGGGCACTTACTAATTTTAAATTTATTTTAAATTAATTATTACTATTGAGTATTTATTTTTTATCATTGACATAGAAATTATTATTACTATTATTTTAAAATAAAAAAAATATTTTTTTACCAAAATTTTATTATTATATATTTATTTTAATTAAATCATATTAAAAAAATCTTTTTATTTATTATAATAAATACACATTTTTAATTCTTAAATGTATAATAAATATATATTTTTACTCTTGAATTCATATCTTGAGGAACTAAATATATATATATATATATATAGACAGACATCACTGTATGAAAAGATTAAAAAAGTGAAAAATATAATTTAAGAATTAAAAATATTTAAAATTAAAAATGATATTTAACCTTTTTTATTTACATTAATCTTATTATTATCTATTTATTTTAATTAATCATCTTATCTTAGAAAAAAATCTCTTAATTTTTTAAGTACAACAATATAAGTAATTATATAAACTATCTCTAAATTCTTATTTTAGATAAAGGTTTTTGTAACTAGCTAGTGCTGATAAAGCCACTTTTTTTTCATAAATGAATGTAAGAAAATATAAAAATTGATATTAATATTAGTATTAATGCTAAATAAATAAATTTAATTGATAATTAATAAATTAAAATTCAATTTTTATTTTTAATATAAATTTATGATAAAAATATATATTTATTACATCTTTAAATCTATACTTTAAAGATACATATTAGACCAACTCTTTATATAAAAGTAAAAAAGTTATAATTATTTTAGGACAAAAAATAATGATTTGTATAAATAACCCAACTCTTACTCTTTGTGTCCTAAAATGATTGTCATTATTCGATTTTGAATTTATTTTAAATTAATTATTATTATTATTTTTTAGAATATACAAATATATTTTTTTATTTTAACCCTATTATTATTTATTTATTTTGATTAATTATTTTATCATAGAAAATATTATTTTATCTTTTAATTTTTCCCTAAAAATAATATAGATAAATAAATATTTGAATTATTCTTAAATCCTTAATTTTGAAAAAAAAAAAACGATAGTTATTTTGTAATAGATAGAGTAAATAAAAACTATTGAATAAGGCATATGCCTTGCTACCAGGAACTTAGCACTAATTCGATGATTTAAATTGTGAAGTTTAGACTATCAAATACTTTTTTATTTATACAATATGATGTCTTATTTTATATTTTTTTTGAGAAATGTGAAATTTAAGATTATCCTTACATTTAAAATATTAAAATTATAAATAAAATTATTCAAATATCCTTAATTATTAATTCATTAAGAATATGTTATTTTTTTTTATTATCATTGATAATATTTTAATCACTTACTCATCCTAATTTTCTCAATTCTTAAAAAAATTATTATGCAACTTATTTCGCAAGCGATTTTACAATTTAAATTATTAAATGAGTGATGAATTCTCTCATATTAGAGTTTGTCTCTAATTATTAATTTTTATTTTACAATATAATACAAGTTAAATTACAAAATAAGATACTTTTATATTTATTTGAGGCTAAGGGTGAATGGTATTCTCTGTATTAAAATAATAAATATTTTTTTATTTGAGATTTGTGCTAAAATAATCAACATTCTTTTATAGTTTGGAGGAGACAAAAAAAAAAAAAAAACTCTTCCTTACTTTAATCTCATGATTATGTTTTACCTTTAATTACTCATTTTATTATAAAAAACTCACTTTATTTTCATTTTTTTAAAATAAAATAGATAAAAATAAAAATTATCCCTAAATTTTTAATTTTAAAATAAAAAACTTTTATTGTTATGAGATGGATGAGCATCAATTTAAATATTTAAATAATGATTGATATATTATTTAGTTCAATATACTTATTAACACTTATTGATTCAGTCATAAAATTTTATAAATAAAATTTTTTTCACTTTAAATTTAAATTTAAAAATAATAATTTCTTAATAAATGTATTATAAAATGTTAAACTAAAGAGTACACCAATCATCATATTAAACGTTTCTATTCATTTAATCAATCCAAATTGTTAATACTAGCTAATTTCAAAATCTTTATTCTAAAGAACACCTTTATCAAATTCAAAGACATGTTAAATTAATAGACAACCGTAATTTAATTTCTTTAGTGCTATACGTGAATTAAATCAATTTAAGCACTTTTATTCATCAAAGGAGCAATGGCTAATCTCAAATGTCTGTACTAAACAGCGCCTTGGTTACATTCAAAGAATAGGCAACCGTAGGTATGATACAAACAATCCACACTAGATTTCTAACCTAAAATTTGAAATTGATGTTACATTAAGCTTTTATTGTAAGACATTTATATAGATACATCCAATTCAATACACTTTATAAGACATTCATGAAAATTTATTATATTTTAGTCTAAAATTAAGAAAAAAAAAAAAAAACCTAAAAATATAATTATGCATACAATGTGGACAAACCAGTTGAACCAACTACAGCTTGTTGGGAGCTTGTTGGGAGAGTTTAATGGGCGGCTCAAGAGCACACAAGTAGTGAGAGCACAATGAAGAGATGCTATATTGAATTGAAAGACATATTTGTTAAGTTCTTGGGCCTTTACATATATTACACTCTAACACTGTTTTTTATTGATGTGCAATTTTTGCATATCACTCAACTCAACTCAACTCAACTCAACTCAACTCAACTCTTCTCCACTCACATGTTTATCTTACTCCAACATTCTCTTTTGTGAACATATAAGTCTTCTTCTCTCATGTGAGTGGTTCCACTTTGGATTTCAGACTCCACTCTTTCACCGGACCTTGCCTGTCTATCAAACAACTTTGGACCTCATCCATCTACTTGAAGATTTTACTCATCTTCTACCATAGAAGATATTACATCTTCAATTTCTACCACGGGATCATGACTGTGGAGTCCTTACCACGCCATAAACTACGTCACACTCACAATTCTACCTAGCATGTCCTTGAACACTGATCGCACCAAGATCAAACCACTAGTTCTGATACCACTTGTTACAAGAGTAGTCTAATGGGCCAACTTAGGAGTGTATGGGTGTGACGGCATGAATATATATGAGAAAACGTCATATTGAACCAACAAAACATATCTATCAAATTCATGGGCCTCCATATATATATATATATATATATATATTGCACTCTAACACTTCATTTCTTATCAACGTAAGACCATTGCACATCACTCAACTCAACTTGACTCACATGTCCATATTACTTCAACACACCTATATTATATGTTACTAACTTAACTGCCTGGATGTCGTCGAATTAAAGAGTCGAACATTTTCCTTTATTGTATACGCCATGATATATTAGAATTTCTCTTGTTAAGTGTGTGTTTGGTATGCAAATTAATTAAATTTCGTTTCATTTCGAAATGAGTTCGTAAGAAATTTTATTTTAAAATGAATTTTAAAATTAAAAATTTTTGTGTGCATTTGTTTAAATGAAAATAGAATTTATTTCATTTAAAAATAAACTCACTAGAGAATTTACTTGGAAATTCATTTATAAACAAAATTTATATGTTTGGAATAATTTATAAAATTATAGAATTTAATTGAATTTAAAAAAATTATATTTGAAATAAATAGAGAATGAATTTAATATTAAATATTTCACAGAATACTCTTACTATTTGTGAACGAGTGTATAGAGTTTTAATTTTAGAAATATTTTGGTAATTTAAACACTTGGATCATTAAAAAGTGTAAAATTCGTTTTTAAATTTCATCAAAATTGATAAGAATTGAATTAGTCTTAATAAGATGACAAAAAAATAATAATAATAATCTTAACCAATTTTGTATTTTAGAAGTTGACCAATGATCAAATAAAAGTTAATCTTTAACCAATTCTATAATTTAGAAGTTAAGTTTTATTTGTCAATACTATGAACAGAGATTTTTCACATAACACTCTATTTAAAAATATAAATTTTTAATTTTTAATTAATTTTAATTAATTTTTATATATTTTTATTAAATTTAATTAATATTTTATATATTTTTAAAATATAAATATTATAATTACAATACAGTGGAACACTAACAACAAAAACCAATTTTGGCCGCATTTTTAAGTAATGGAAGAGTTTATTGCATTTTAAGGAGAAAGTCAGAATCCTGGAAAAATGGGGTCTCACTATCCGCGGCTGCAAAAAAGAGAGAAGCAATGCGGCACTATAACCAGTCCACCATTATATATCCACTTGCTCAAAATTTTCTATTCTTGAGGGCTATTTGATTTGGAATGAATTGGAAGTCAATTATTTTTTTTATTGATTTTTATGGCAACATAATTGGAAGTCAATTATGAATTGGAAAATTTGTATATCGCAACTACACTGAGTAAACCTAGAGCTAGATTTATCATTTGATATTGTTGTTGCTTTCTTGGCATGGTAAAGTCATATTTGTGATGGTTACCTACACCAAGTTTAGGCTTTGTTTAGTATTATTTTTATTTTTATTTTTATATTTTAAATTTAATAACTAATATTATCTATATTTAAGAGGTCTTGATAGTATATATAATATTAATTTCTATTTTTTTTTAAAAAAGAAGAATTTCTTCATATTTGTGATGGTAAAGAGAAGTTTATATCTCCATGTAAATTTCTACTAAGGCATTCCGCAACTTTGCAACTACCAACACTTTAGTTCTTTAAACTCAATCATTTAATGTACTTTATTATGAAATGAGAATGTTCTTTTACAATTCGTGCAAAGAGGATTGTACTTGATTTTTTACTATGAATTATCCAAGGTTAAATA